TGAAGCAGAACCGATCACCAGCCAAGGAAAAAAGGAACGCGCTGCTTCCGTCTGCCTTCCTAGGGCGGAGGGTGGAAACTGATTTGCAATGAGTGCTGCCCATCATCTCTGATCATTTTCTTTCATTTTCTATCATGGGCATGATATTTGTTATCACTTTTTATCATTTACAAGTTTTCATCCTTTTTCATGACCTTCCATGACTTCTCATGATTTTTCATGATTTCTCATGGGTTTCATGATTTTCATGATTAGTCATGAATTTTCGTGACTTTCATCCGTCTTCGCAATCTTTGCTTCGGACTTGCGCTCTCGCGTGAGGCGTCCTTCGACTCAGGCCCCCAGCCACCATCCACCAAAAAATCAAGAAAACAAAAAACAAGTCACAAACAACAACAAGTCGAAATAAACATTCCACCCATATAATTAGGGCCCTAGCAATTTAGACTATTTAGGGTCTCGCCTTTAGGCACCTCAATGCAAGGTACGGGGAGAATCTAAGGCTTGAGTTTCGCAGAAAGTGGGGCCCTACAGACCCCAAAGAGTTAATAGGGACTATCAGAAAATTACCCAGGTCCCTTTTGGTAATTAGATACGGAATTTTTTGAGTAGGCACACGCAGCAGCAGCGCCAGCACCAGCGACAGCGCCACAGCCGCCGCCACAACCAGTACCACAATCACCGCAGCCACCAAAACCGCCGCAGCTGCCGCAACCGCTGCAACCGCCACAACAAAAATATTCACAAATGCATGCACTGTTGAGCCATCGGGAGTTTGGAAATACTGGAATTCGCGTACATCCGAAGCCAATTTCGCTGTGCCAGGGAGGGCCGGCAGTGTTCCACCAGTTCATTGGGCGTCCCGACCGTGGTTCTCATCTGAGTTGCTATTGAGACTGCGTGATCTGCCCCGGAGTTCTCGCATTTTGACTAGCAGCGCCCAACAGGCAGGTGGAGCCGAATGCTCGTTCCTCCGGAAGGCACGAACGGAGCTCGGTTCCCCCTCCGCCGCTCAGATGTGTTTGACAAAGTCCCAGTGCATGTTTCATGCATTTCTTTCCGCGTGCATGACGCGCGATCAAAACCTGAGGCATGTGAGGAGCATCTCTGTGCAGCCGCAGTCATGCTGGTGACGTGCCTGACGATATTCCTCTTCTTTGTTGTTGGCATGCTGCTAGCAGAGCAAATTGACGACTGTCGATCCAGGAGCCGCACGCCTGGGCCTGCCTCGCGATCGATCACTCCTCGCCGGGGTCCGCGTCAGGCACGTGCGATCTTTGAAACACTTTCTTCCTCTCTTTTCTTCACTCACCCAGGTGCAGGCACCTGTTTTTCAGATGCATCGGCCCAAAATTGTGATGGCCGCAGCCTTCATCGTCTCAAGAATACCACGCTGGACTGAGGCCCCCCAACGGACTGATGCCAGCACCAAGAGGCAGCTAGACGATCGCTATAGAGCTGCGCAGTTTGTGCAGCAACACTCGTTACAGAGTGTTTGAGGCTGCCCACCTCCGTGGCAGCCAGCATCCAAGCAACTCTAAGCAGCGGGACGTGGAAACCTGATGAATAAGATCAGGCTCCTTCCACAGTGGCCGCATGGTCATCAAGGTCCGAAGGTGTGCAAGACCTAGCAAGACCCGTCAACGGTCCTGTCCAAGGATGCTTTGGCCCCTCTTGGCCGAGGTCTGGCCTACAACCTGGTCCCATGCTGACCCCAGCCTGCCACCGAGCTTTCATCAGCCGTGCGATTGAGTTCCACAGACGTATCAATTTCTGCGAAGTGTGGGTTGAACTTTTTTTTGTGTGTGAAGCCCTCTGCATACTGGAGATGTTGTCCAGGCACTCTTTCCTCCTCAACTTCCTGGGCCAGTGGCAGGCTCGGCCCCACCCGCCTTCCCTTGCCTTTGCTCCTTCGGTAAAGTTACCGCCATGCCGACTATGCAGCTTCTGAACGTGATGTCGGCAGATGTTGACAGGTCCCGTCCCTGTACTGGCTCACCCATCGGTTGCGCAGCCCTGCAGGCCAGAGGTTTGTTCTATTGTAGATTGCCGAGCTGCGATCCCTCCCGGCAATGGCCTCTTTTCAAGCCCCCTTGGCAATCGACAAATTCATGCTGCGCAAGCACATGCAGCGCACATCCTGTTAGCAGGACGAGTATAAGTGGCAAGCGGTGTGCAGGCTAAACCCAGCAGCCGGTGTGGCCGGAATGGCGCCAGGCTTAAGGCCTCGCAGACTCTCAGACATTCAGAGCCAGTTTGCGAGAAGCATTGGATTCTTGGTCAGGCTGATGGCGCAGCCCAGACCTGTACGTTTGTAGGGAATAGAAGATGATTTAGAGCCGTTAATTCGCGTTGCACCGCAGATTACACCCGGACACGCTCAAGTGTGTCTGGCACTGAAGCATTACATGACGCAGCGACCGCAAATGTCGGCGACCAAATGAAACAAGTTGGCACTCACTGCCCCATTATGCTACACAGCAGATGTCAATCTGAAGGGGCTCATGCTGCTCCAGAGGTTTTCCAGCTTGGCTCCAGTCCAGCCTTAGACAGGTGGTGTGCAATGCTTTGGCTGGATGAGCCTGCTTGCAGAGTTGGTCGAGGAAGGGGAGGATGCGGAGGGGCTGGCATATCTAGGTGAGCAGGTCACTCTGCAGGATCTTGAAGAGGCACTGAGCCACAGAGATGAAAACTAAATCCGAATAAACACAAAATTACTGCTGTACACTGCGCTCAAGTCCCTGAAGCAGGCCCTAGCAGAGCTTGCAGCGCAGAATGAGCAGCTTGAAGTGGACTGTCGTGGGCTTGAGGCCCATTGCCGCGACTTGGAGCGCGCGGGCTGGCCGGTGCCTTGCAAGCTGGAAGATGTAATCCTGGCATCGGAGACTGTCGAGGAGGTGCCTGCTGAACCTGAAGCCAACCTTTCGGAACACGTGTCCTTGGTCGTGGCCGCGGAGGCTGCTGCCAAGTCCGCACTGGATGCAAAGACTTCTGCAGAAGAAGCCGCTATTCAGGTTGGAAAAGCATTGGGAAACACAGCAGAGACAATGGAATCAGAGCGACTACATGAGCTGGCATCGCCTGTGATCTCGCGCGCTGTCGCAACTCTGTTTCAGAGTGTTCAGGGAGATGCAGTGTCACCAGCCAAAGCTGCAGCCAATGCAGCCATGGCTGCTGGCTTAAGCGCAGATGTAGCGGCCAGCACCGGGTTTGTTGCAGCAGGCAGGGCTTGGGCTTGTGCTTGGGCATGCTTTTTCATTTGGAGAGTTTTGGAACATTGGCCTGGTGCAGGACTTGTTGCAGGAAAGCAGGCTCTTCAAGGTGGGAGCGATCTGAACAGATCCGCTGAAGCCGGCTGCAAGATGACTATGGACCTAGCCCAAGCTGCAGGCCATCAGCGCTGTGAAATGCTATAAGACAGCTTCAACTGCCTCACATTTACTGCTGACAATTCACAAGCTTCCAGGCCTCTCAGCCGAGGAGGCTACCTTTCTCGCGGCGCGGACTGCTAGCGAGATTGCATCCGAAGCATCTCGCAGCGCTGGTAAGACCTGTGTCGCTTGGGCACTCAAACAATGCAGGGCTTTTCGATGAGAGGCATATGCAAAACACGGCACTGTATGCTGATATTTGTACTGCTTTGCTGCACACGAAGCTGAGGAAAGGGTGGTGGAAGATGCTGCGGACGCTGCCAAGAGGCTTGCGAAGCCAGGCTCATCAAGCTTGTCCGCACGCCTGGGAGTCCAGGCAGCTGGCAGAGCAGCCGCAAATACAGTACCTCCTTTGCAAAAGAGCTGGGCTTTAGCTGTAGGGAATGAAGGAGAGTTTCAGAGTGCATGCCATGGACTGCATTGTTTGTCGTTCTATAAAGTAAGAGCCGCCCAACAGAGCCCAACGCGCGTTTGTACAGGAACCTCGAGGCTTGGGCCTTGGCCTGGAAGAGACTTAGGAAGGATGTATTTGCCATATAACAGCAGCCCTGAAGCTTCTGACGACAGAAGAGAGATGACTAGAAAGAAGAAGCAAAAACTTTCAGCTATTGTTGGGACACCATGCAAGAAATTTGATTTTGCAAGGTGGCGATGCAAGCTCCTGCTTTGGACGCCGCTCAAATTGCAAAGAACGTCAGCAGTGTCTTGGCTCTGAGGAGAACTTGCGTTTCTCGGGAGGCCTGCAGCATGTATGACTGCCAGGTGCGGTTGCGGCTATCACACGTGAGGCAATCCCGGATGTAGAAGACCGGCATGAGGTGGTTGCGGAAGTGAACCGCAGCTGGACTGCATGCCATGGATGCCACAGGGTCTACGCCTGGAAGTATAGGGTGGCCTTGTGCCGGATGTGTGTGATGTCCTGACTGACGCATGTCGCCACAGGTTGCAGAACTGGTTTGCCTGCAGGTTTGTTCAGCATGTGAGCTTAAGGTGCAGCGGGCCGTGTGGTGGAAGAAGCAATGGCTGCAGTCATCATGAAGGCTTCCGAGGGAAAAGTACCTCAGCTGGACGTGTGCAACCAGGGTGATACAAGTTGCTTGCATCACCATTGACTCAGGCAACGCCTCAGGCTCCTGCATCTCCACAGCAGGAGACAACAGATCAAGATGCACGGGTGAAGGAATTGCTTAAGGCACGCTGCTTGGCAGCAAGGGCCTTTTGCCTTTGAAGGCTACGTTGGGAGATCAGCAATGTCGCTCGCCCGAGGTGAGAAGTCGTTTGCAGCCATGGCAGACATGCAGGAGCGCTGTGCCAGCCAGCAAAGCGCACTTTGCCAAGCAAAAAGAGACGTGAGTACACAGCAAAAAGTGTTGCATTGCTATGAGATAAGTAGGAATTTGACCTGACATCTTAAGGAGATGGAGAGGCTGGTGCGAGAACGAGCTGGCGATCAGGAAGAACTCTTGAAGCTGCGCCAGCAGCTGCGTGGTTTGGAGCAGCAGCTGCCAGACCCCTACCATGCCCTGCCTACAACTCTGGCAATCATTGCAGTGGCCTGCAGCGGAAGCTAAACATTTACATGAAGGGCACTTGCACATAGCTTGTGCCAGCTTGTGCACTCACATCTCAAAAGGGGCAGCAGTCCTTCCGATTGGTGCCCCCGAGCTTCCCCGTGACTCATACGGTTGAAACAAAGCTCCGAAAGAGGCATTGTTGTCTCCGTTCCACTCGAGCGGCACCATGAATGTTGAAAGCAAAGATGCTCGAAAATGCTAGTCGACCATAGGAGTGGGCACTTGCTCGAAGGTTTTCCTGATTCGGTGTTGTGGTGGTATTTGCAGCCCATCTTCGAAGCGCCAGCGCACAAGCAATTGTTACGGTAAGATTCCTTGCAAACGTCACTGGTCTAGTGCCCTGGTCTAGTGCATGCACTCCGTTGATGTTCTGCTGCGAGTCCTGCTTCATAAACGCCTGAAGCTTCGGGCTGACGCAGGCAAAAGCATAGGTTTTCAATCATGACATGCAGGTGGCGTGTGTTTCCCGGTCTTGGAGAGTTTTGGCTTTCATGTCGTGGAAGTCTGCCTATGCCAACATAGATTGCCGGTGGGCAGGGCTTGCTGCGCAACAAAATCAAATTTCAATCAAGTTGACCAGCAATTGCATCTTGGAGCCTTCCGTCTTTCTGCAGGTGGTTTTGTTGAAGAAAGGGTGAGGAGTTCGATGCGCCAGTGCATCCCCTTGTCCATTGTCCAGAATCATTCACACAGGTCGGACTTTAAGAGCATTCATGCACAGATTTTACCGAGCAAACTGCTGCGCCTTGCTTCTAATGTTACTGTTGCAGGGAATGGCCAATGAGTCCTTTCCAAATGCTTATAGTTGAGGTGCAGCATGCTGGATATGGCTCGCACTCTGCCACAAAAGCATGCAGACCCATGTGTCAAGCAGGGCAGCTATTTTTGGCACATCCTGTCGACGCCACCTGCGCAAGCCCTCGACGGTTTGCTATTTCTGGTAGTCTTCAGAAAAGCAAGTGGCAAACAAAATGCTAAAAAAAAGGCGAGCAGTTTGAAACATGGTTCGCAGTAAAGCTGCTTCCGGACAGACACAAAAGCCGTCCACGCACAGAAGGGCACACAAGTTGTTTTGTCAAGCAACGTCCAAGGGATGTGTCCTTTGAGGCAGGAAGCTGAAGCTCGTGTTGGAGCCTCAAGCTGCGAAGCAGATGCAGAAGCTCTTTGGAGTTGCTTGGTCTGACCTTGGCCCAAGGAGCAGCTGCAAGAAGCAGATCAGATGGACAGTCTGAGCGTGACTACTGGGGACGATACGTCCTCTCTGGCAGAGAGCCTGGCCGGGAAGCTTGGCTGTTATTTAAACCAGGCTTCAGGAGTATTCATGTCTGCGTTAAGTAGCTTGTCTGCATGAGGAGTGCCCGCAGAATGCGGAAGAAGCGAAACGCTCGTGCAGGACAGGCCTTTCGACAGGCCAAGTGCTTGGATGAAGGTGTGGACATAAGTGCGGTGGAAGGAGACGCTGGGATGAAGCCGCTAATGCGTACCCACCCTCTTCAAAAGTCTAAGCCTTGGCATGTAAGGATGTTGATCCAGAAGAACAGCTGATTCGAGTATTGGTCTCCAAGTCGCATGACGCTCGCCCGCAAGGGGCATGTTCTTTCTGAGAGAGCACTACACAGTGCCTCCCTCAAATCTGGGAGCAGCGCTGACACTTCGGCGCATGGCTTATTCGTATGCTCAGGCATCACCGCTCTGGCGAGATCTGCGTCCCGAAGCAATTAGCAGCAACTTCTTGACATACATACGTGTACTCAAGTACTCAAGCAAAATACACAGCCGACCCAACTGCAGGCTAATATTCATCCTCGAAAAGGCGGGACACGCTACTGCATCTGACGTAGAGATCAAGAAGGAGCTGCAGCTCATGGCCTATCAAGTCAAAGAGAAGTGACTGGGACGGAATTTCGAGTTTCATCTGGGAAGCAGTCAACTCATCCACTGACAGGTTGAGCTCGTTGGAGGGCACAGCACCATCGCGGGAGGGCATGTTGGAGACCATGTTGAAGACGGTGGGCAAAGTCACCGACCAGGCCTGGAGATACTTGTCTCCTTTCTCTCCCCTTGGAGCTTATGCTTTCTCACACGTTTGCCAACTGTGCCTAGATACCGACTAAGACAGGACAAGAAGCCGTCACCAGCACTGTGGCTTTCAAGGGTTTGCTGTATAGTGCTAATGTTTGTTTGATAAAAAAATGATGATTATGTTCCAGTCTCTTCTTGCCGCCTTCCAAATCCCAGTTTCTACTTGAGTCTCCTGCATTGAAGCGAGTCCCTGCAGGCTGTGGATTCCGCTGTCTTATATGTGACCCAGGATTCGCCTAAGCACTCCACAGACGCAGAGGAGGTGGTCAAGCAAGCCTTTGCCCCTGAGGCGAGGGATCCAGCAGCGGCCTTACTTTCCCGTCATTTGGCAAGAGGCCTGATCTTTCTGATTCACAGCCTCAGTCAACTGAGGCACAGGCCGGCGCTGACGCATTCAAGCAAAATGCTCGGCTAAGACTGGCAGCGCGACGGAATCGACAGCGAGGTAGTGTCTTAAGCTGCTCGCCTGGCCCTGGAACTTGCGATTGCCGCTTGCCCGACGATTGGTGTGACGTGGCTGAGGTGTTGCGGCATCTATCTCTTCAAAGCCAGGCAGCTGAAAGGTCTCGTCTAGCTGGTGATGCTACATCGATGGGTGAGGCAGCCTGTCGGTCTGGAGGAAACGGCGCAGGACCTCGAGGACGCCGACAGGAGGTACGTGTTCGGCGTCGTCAATAAAATGCTCAGAGGCTTCATGCTGAGCAAATCGATTGCGAATTCCTGCCCGAGTTGACGCCCGTGTGTGGAAGTTGTTGGTCCCTCGGTAGCTGCTGGCTGCTGCCGCAGCTGCTGGAACGAGCGCATCCTGTCACAGAGACTTCGCGAAGTCCATGAGGACTTCCTGGAAAGGCTTGTTTCAGCACATTCGGCACGGTTGAAGAAGCTGGTGCGCAATGAAGTTTTCACAACGACATGATTTGCGGACTGTGTCTTGCACTGACCAGACAGAAAAGCCACGCGGGACCAGTTGCTTTGTGCAGCACCTTCTAGTGCGGCCAACGTGATTCGCCCCGACGTCGCAAGATTCTGGCTGTAGAGCAATTTTCAGAAAGGGTTCAACCATCATGAAGCAGCATGATGAGTGTTGTAGCGCGGCATGAGTTCCTCGGACCACATGCCAGATGTAAGGATGGTCTACATACGCAATCTTCGGGGAATTACTTATTTCTGTTACTACACAAGCGGATGACAGCGGCCGCACTGCAAAGCAGTAGCTGGCCTTGCCACTGTCCTCATGCCCTCACGAGATGACAACTATGCTTCTGGGCTGCATTGCACGCGTGCAGAGCTAAAGCGACCCGTCCCAAATGAAATTGCTCGAAGGACTTCATCAAAGTCATTGGCAAGGGCGCATTCGGAATTGTGGAGCTGTGGCAGCAACGTTTCAATGATGAGAAGTTGCTTGGCGGTGAAAGGCTGCTCATGGACTCAGGCAGGTAGTAGCTGCGTAGCTGCGATGTGCGAAAGTCGTCTTGATGCAGGCTTGTTGCTGCGAAGCGAGCCTTGACTGCAGCGTCTCTAAGCTACGATAGGCTGATTCTCGTTGGGACTTCTTATGCCTACTTGGAGACATGCAACTGCAACAGCCTTCATTCGCTTTGGTGTGGCATCCCTCTTGCCCTTTCAGGTGTACATGTGGGTGAGATGACTGCAGAAGAAGTTGAGCGAACTAGTTGCTTGGCTTTCCCAGCGTGGCTCTTGTAAGTGCCGTGATCTGCACGACTGCTTTCGCAAAACGCAAGGGCAAGAAGCTCAAGTGCTAAAATCCCTTCAGCACCCTCACATAGCAGCTTGGCATCAGCACTTCTGAGCGAGCTTGGTAGATCTACTTCTTGGTGCGACTGAGGTGAGGTACCTGGGAAGTTGGGTAAGCCGCCAGAAGGAGGTGTCAGCACTGGAAGCAGACCCATTGAGTATTCTTGTTTCTGCGTCTGTGCAGGACCTGATCATCATCCAGGAATATTGCAAAGGCGGCGACCTGGCACACTTCGTGTGGTACAAGAAGAAGAGCGGCGAGCGCATCTCCGAGGAGCTCGTGATGCAGTGGTGCCCTATACGCACTTTATCTAGCGTGGGCAATGCCGGACAAGCATGACAGTTTCGGTCAAATTCCCAGGCTGGCACAGCTGACCCATGCTTTGCAATACTGCCACAAACGTGCGCGGATCCTTCATCGTCACCCCGGCATTTTAGCTTTTGACCCTCCAGGATGGCTTATCCATGTTGCCTCAGGAGATTTCAAACCCTCCAACATTTTCTTGGCAGAGGCCCTGCGCGAGTGCATATGCAGCATGGCTTAGGACCAGCGTATTTGCCACCGCAGGATGTGCAATCGGTCCGGCTTGGCGACTTTGGGATCGCCAAAAACCTGCGTTCCACAGCCAGCCTTTGCCAGACAGTTGTTGGAACGCAGGCGCTGCTGATGTGTTGTTATGGCTGTCGTGCTGCATTGGATTGGATGTGTTCTGGTGTAGTTGTCATTTTTGCAAGCAAGACCTGCCGCATGGCATGCAAGGCCTACATGAGTCCGGAGCTGACCAGAATGCAGAAGTATGGGCCGAAGACTGAAGTTTGGAGTTTGGGTGCAACTCTCTACGAAGTGTGACTGGTCCAGAGCAGCAGTTTTTGCATTTCGTTTGGTTGCGTGGGGTGGTGATATGCTTGCGATTGAAATCCGGCTTCCAAGGTGCACACACAAGAAGTTGTATGACAGCCCCGACATCTTGGAACTTGTGGAGAATCCTGGATGTTTATGGCGTCTCATAAATATTTGAAGAAAATAACAACCTGACTGTAAGGAAGATCTCCAGCGCTTCCGAGGCCCCTAGGGTGTCGTCTGAACTGGGAAGCTTGGCAGCCTGATTGCCAGGTAGCAACCTGTGAGAGAATTTTTGTAGGACCTGGTGTCCATTCGAGGATACTCGACAGAGCTTCAAGACATCTGCGCAGCGATGCTGGTGAAAGATCCCGGAGCTCGGCCGACGCTTAGTGATTTGCTTACAGATCACGCAATGCTGCGGGTGACAGTGCTCCAGTTGGAGCGCAGCATGGGCTGGGAAGAGTCTCTGGTTCCCGGGCAAGAGCCGGACCTTGAAGTGTCCGCGGAGGCCCAGGACAAGCTGCGAGCTCTCTTCAAAAAGCACAGCAAGGATGGCCTCCTCAGTAAGACGGAGCTTGCGAGCCTGCTTCACAAGTTTCAGCCCAAGTTTGATGACATGTGAATTTGTAGGATGGGCTGCTAGGGTCACTGGAAAGGGAGAAGCATTTGCAAACCCTTCATTCCTGCCGAACACAATCAGATCAGACTCGGACGGGCAGCTACGCATTTTGCTGCGGACTAACGCCAGCTGCATCCTCATTTGAATTTCATGTATTTCCGGATGCTGCGCTTGCTCTGTTGCTCTCCCCAGGCCCCAGGCTCTCTCGGTCAGGATTTCTCTACTACGCGCTAGCCGCTACTGTAGGTTTCACAACCAACCGCGACAGAGAAGAGAGCCACTTCATGTTGTGAGCCAGTGTCCCAAGGCTGCATCCCAAGTGGGACTCGGGCGTTGCAAGCATTCTTCTAAAGGCTGCAGATGAGGATGGAGATGAGAACTTGGATTATGAAGAGTTTCTGAGCTGGCTTTTGGCAGGCAACAACGAGTGGAATCCAATCAAGCAGGCCATGATGCTTTCAACCGATGAAGATGACCCAGAGCCTCGAGTAGATCGAAGCAAGACCGAGGAAGCTCCAGCAGAAGGCGAAAGTTTTTCGGCGCTGGCCGCGCACGCCCGCGAGCGATTGCTGAAGCCGGCAACGGAGGAGAGGCCTTCCCTGTCACTTAAGGAAACGGCTGCCATGCAGGATTTGGTGGAGCTTGCGCGACAGCACAAAGAGTTGTCTGACTTGTTGCAACAGTTTCCCTTCGATCTCGAAGCAGAGGCAATGGCAGCCTTGGATTTTTCCTCGTGGCCGGTTGCTCGCTTGAAAGAGTATGCAAGTTCCCATGGTGGTTCCCTGCAAGGAGCCGTTGAGAAGCATGAGCTGGTGGAACTGTGTCGGAAGCTTCATCTTGAACAGAACAAGCGGGCAGATGTTGCGGATGAGGATTTGGCATATGCAGAGCGCATTGATGCAAGACTTCGATGTTTACGACTCTTGCAAGACCAGAAAGATCCTGATCCGGTGCAGCTGGCAATGGCCCTGCGGCAAGCACAGCGCCTGCTTGTTGAAGAGCCATGCGTCACAGCGATCCTTACTCATTCGCAGCGTCTTGGTATGCGTGCCGAAGACCAGTCAAAAACTGCCAAAACTGTCCCGGAGATGGAGCATGCGGTGGATCTTATGGAAGCCGTCAAGGATGTGAAGTTGCCAGATGGCCGAACAAACTGCGTTTCATCAGCCACTCTGGAAGAGGCCAATTTCCGGCTGCAGGGAGTGAGGAGTAGAGAGGAGAAGATCGGAGTACGATCGCTGTGTGGGCCCTTTGTCAAGACGAGCTCGCTGAAAGGAGGCTGCTCACTTCAGCAAGCGAAGCTTCAGCTAGCACAGGTTTGGTGCCGACCAGTAGACGCATTAGACTTCTATGCAGAAGATGGTTCGCCCCTAGACTCCGAGGACAAGTGGCAGGGCTTGATTCGTGGAGTTGAGTCGCTGCAGCTGCAGTTGGTTTTAGATCGCAGTCGACTCGGAGGCCGCAAAGGTAGCAAAGCAGGGACAAAAGCCAAAGCCAAACCGGCCGCAAAGAAATCGCTGGCTGCACTTGCTGCGTCAAGCAGCCCCTGGCGAAATTGAGTCTGCCGCTGAGGCTTTGTTTTTCTGTTTTCCGTTTCGTTCACTGAACTATGTCGTGTATGTAGGGCTGCAAAGATGCCATTTGTTCGCACCGGATGCCAGATGCATCTGAAATGAAGGATGCAGAGGCGACAAAGCGTCAGCAGGCTCAGTAGGAGGTGTTAATGAACAGCGCGAAGAAAGCCAGTCTTCAAAGCAAGCTGGCGCATGCTGCTGCGCTAAAACAAGTGTTCCTGGGCTTCTTGCATATTCCTGGCAGAACCCAAAGTGAATCAGATGCTCCACTATGAAAAGGAGCGTTCCTTCTGCCTCTGTGCTTGCTGGCCGTTTCACCGTTTGATGACCACTGGCCAAGGCTGGCCAGGGCTGACAGGGTAATGACACATATGGTTACCTTTCCTGGCGTTGCCAGGCCTACTGCCAAGCACCAACCACCGCATACCCAACCAAACACCAATCAACCAACCGACTAGCTATTGTACCAAGCAGCCACCAATCAAACTGCTAGCTAACAGCAATGAGAACCAGACAGTGCGGACCACGCCAACACCTCCCAATAAAAAGGTTGATCAGCTTGCAGCGTGCAAGCCATGAGCACATACAGCCTCCCCGGAGCATTCTGGCGGTAGTCGCCAATGGAGGCAGCTGCTACAAACCTGATACGGAATTGGATGGTGTGTCCTTGCCATCATTTGGCAGGATGATGACTTGCCGCCGTTTTCATTTGCGCAATTCAGGCCTCCTCGCGGCAATGGCGTAGCGTGGTGCAGCATCATCCTGCAAAGATGTCAACTTTGCAGGTGTAGTCCATGCTGCACAGCCGACACCTTGGATCCTGCTCAACCCTCAGGATTCGTGGGTAGGGCGGCGCAACACATAAAGTTGTTGGCATGAATTCGGCCAAGGTCTTCTCCAATGTTTCGGCGGGGCAATCCATGTGGTACAGGGCCCTCAAGCAGGGTGCCCGTGCAACAGTTCTTGAGCAGCCCCGCAGAGGTTTCAGATGCCTGATGGACTCCATCCAGATCGCGATGAACTTTACCCAGGGGACAGCAGTGCCTGATTTTTTTTTTCAGCACCAGCTTGTTACTCGCAATTTCTCTTGCTGACGTTTTATCACCTTGTCGTGCGAGGATGAGCCGCTGTCCAGAGAAGATGGTGTTCAAGAACGTGGAATGGTGCCCTTGGCCTGGAGTTGCCCTTTAGTTGTAGTGCTACAAGGAAGTATGTGTTGTGTTGACCTGCTGCTGTAGCTGCTGTTGTCATTGTTTTGTGGTTTTTGCGGCGGCGGCGGCGGTGGTGGTGGTGGTGGTGGCGGTGGCGGTGGCGGTGGCGGTGGGGGCGGTGGCGGCGGTGGGGGCGGTGGCGGCGGTGGCGGCGGTGGCGGTGTTGGCGGTGGTGGCGGTGGTGGCGGCGGCGGCGGTGGCGTTGGCGGTGGTGGCGGTGGCGTTGGCGGTGGCGGTGGCGGTGGTGGTGGCGGTGGCGGTGGTGGTGGCGGTGGCAGTGCACCTACGAGTTTCCCTCCCGGAATTATAAATATCATGGGGTTCCCAAGTGGTGCAAGATTTTCTCCACCCACTGTAGCAACAGTAACGAAGCTGCATCTACACAGCACGGCTGCTCCAAACCCTAAATCCCGCCACCCGTGCACTCCCAACACGCCGTCAAGGGCTTGGCGGCCAACTTCCCTGCAGCGCAGACGCATGGCTTTCTAAAAAGGTTAGGGGTCCCTTGACAGGGGTTACCTAGAGATACATTATGAAATAGGGGGAATGTATAGGGTTGTATGGTGATACTGCAGGAGAGGCAGGGTTTTTAGTTGAAAAAAATTGCTCCCTTTAGAGAGGTGGTAGAGTAAATATGGGATTATATCGGAATCTACCGGCAATTCACTATCAGGATATTTTGGCGGGGCTCCCAGGAAAATATGGGCTATTCTCAAAGCTGTGGTCCCCTTGTGATTATAGTACGGTGCATGGTACATGGGGACTTCAAGAATGGGGCCTGTAGTTTGGAAACACACATATAGGGTATGTAGGGACAGTAGAACGATGTATAGTATAGGTCTTTGGGGTTAGGGATCTTTTTTGGGGGTCCGCATTTAGGGTTTGCGGTCGCCGTGAAAAGGATCACCATAATGTTATCATGTTCCGGATTCTATCTTGGAGTCCCTTGTATATTGAAACTACCACGCCTTTTCAGGATAACGGCGTCACTGCAGCGAGTAAACACATCGTGGTGGTTGTGGTGGTCGTGGTTGTGGTAGTATACTCGGAGAAAGATCTTGCATGGCTTTCCAACTAACTCGCGGGAAGAACACTCCAAATACCAAGCTCTAGATCCCAACCCCGAAACCCTAGGTTATAGGGTTTAAAGTTGCGGTAAACCTCTAACCCTTAACCCCATGAAACCCGAAACCTCAAGCCCTGAACCCTATACCTTCCGGCCTGAAACATTGCAAGGAAGCAAATTATATATATATACATATATACATAATATGTATATTATACCAAAATGGAATCGTTTAGGGTTTTGAGTTTATATATATATATACATATACACATGTATATATATATATACGGTCCAAAATATCCCCTTTAAAGGGACCCTTGATTCCTTTAAAGACCTTAACCCTAAAACCCAAACCCGACCCCTTAGCGCTGCAAGGAAGGAGCTCAAAGATCTGCTCTCGCTGGTCGAAGCAGCGGCTGGCTACAGCAAGGATCTTTGTGTGGGCCCCTTGTATGCAGTGGAGAATAGTTTAGGGTTTAGGGCTCAGCGTTTAGGGTGTAGGATTGGGGTTTTAGGGTTTAAGGTTTAGAATTTAGGGTTTTTGAGTGTCCAGGGTTCAGTGTTTGGGGAGAATCAAATGAAGACCAAAACGGGCTCTGAGCTTATATGCGGATTGATAACGACAATTGCCATTACTATGCTTCTAGATGCCGTGTACGATTCTCATACATTATAGGGTGCCTCAAATGGACGTCAAGATGATATTGGCAATTGTTCAGGCCCCTGTGGTAGTCCTTCGTTTTGGATGCAAAGCTCTACTACGCTATGCACTGTAGCATGAACCCTAAACCCTAAAGGGTTTAGGGGTTAGGGGTTCACAGACTTATGTCCTATCCCTTTGCTCGTTACGCGATAAGATCTGAAGACATGAGTGTTTCTCAACACAGTCCCCAGACAATACCTGAGGGGGGACCACAAACTTTTTGCTGCTCTTCATAGCGTAGGGTTTAGGATTGGATCTTAAACAAAAAAGCTGAAACGCGAACTCCTAAACCTGAAGCACAACACCGTAAACTTCAATCACTATCCCCTAATGAACCTCCAGCCTGACCTTAACCCTAAACCCTAGCCCTCCTAAACCCTAAACCCTAAACCTTAAACCCTAGCCCTAGACCTGAAATGCTAAGCCCTTACCTGGGGTATCTTTGCCACTTCTGAGGTGACTGGCTCAAGGCAGTGGAAGCTGTGGAGGTCGGGGCCTATTCAGGGAGGTTTAGGGTTTAGGGTTTAGGGCCCTTAGGAACTGTAGGACATTATGGGGACACTAATGTAGACCCTAAATTATTAAACCCCTCCCCTTGATGGGGCCTTAGGAACTGTAAGACAATATGGGGACACTAATGTAGACCCCAAATTATTAAACCCCCTCCCCTTAATGGGGGTTATCATAAAGATTCTAGTATTAAGGCTCCTTTAAAGGACGGGGTGTATCAATCAGGGACTACATTAAGGGGCCCATGGGCGTCCCCATTCAGGATTCTCTAGGGATTGTTTTGAGAAACTTCACTCCCACTCTCTAGCAGTCACACATTGCTGAAACGTTCGACAAGTAGTTCCTCTACCTAGACTCCCTCATGAGAACCCCACAAATTTCCGCAGATTGCTATGGTCCTCCCACATTTTGAAAAGCACCCATCTAGGCCCCATATAAAAACTATGAAAATCCTGCAGTTGTGCTATTGCGGGACCAAAGCAAGGCCCCTAAACCCTAAACCAAACCCTAAACCCATGGCGGGGCAGTATCCAACCTATTCCAAGCAATGTGTCTGGGGGTTACTCAGAATGTGCGGTACTTCGCAGGATCTACTATGGGTACAAATACAGCTGCATGGCCTTTGTGATGGATTTTACCATATTTCCCGAGATATAAGGTACTTGGGGTCATGCAGGACTTTTAGTATCCACTGCAGGGATAGGTGAGGGCGCACATAAACGGGTGGGAACCTCAACATCCGCTTTGAGGTTGAGGGTCAAGGTGATCTAGTACGTGGGTTACTAATGGCAATAACAAAACATGGTGCATGTGGTGCATGTATGTATATATACATATATATATATATTGTTTTCGGGGGTAGTACTACCTGGACCCCAAAGTAGGTAAAATAATGGCCCAACACCCCTAAGAACAGCCAGAAAGAAAGACCATTATTCTACATACTTTTGGGGTTCAGGTAGTACGAAAAGCAGCAAAGCACTGAGACCTTTGCACTGCCAGCGGCTTTCTCAGTTTTTGTCATCAACAGCCCGGGGCTCCATCGAGAGGCATGTCAGATGGACAGATCCACTATGGGCTATTAGACCTTTTGGGTACCGTGCTCTACCCTTCATGGGGTCCTAATGGGGATTTTTAGGGTCTAATATCAGGGGAAAAAAAAGAACATAAGCATAAGCATTTTGCTTCGGGACCCATTTCGGG